AGTATAAATACAGTATATGTGTGCACACTGCACACCCAAATGTAACAAAACAGACATGTTAAAAATGTTTCTATATGTTAATGAAACCAAAACACAATGAAGTAAGTCATCATATTTTGTACTCAAATGCATGTACAACAGTTGTACACTTGTTTAAATATGAATACAAAATGTGTGAAGCAAACAAAAAATAAATACTTTGGTGAACTGAAGTGCAATGACACAAGGGGTCTCGAGTGCAGACTCCTGCATGGTTCTGGTAAAAAGTTTGTTCCTTGCAACTTCAGTGAACTTCTCGTATTTAGCTTTGTGCAACGTGTTGTAGTGGTGACTTATATTAAAATCCTTCATGGCAGACAGAGTCTCTAAGCAGATGCATTAAATACATTTTTTTCCTCCAAACCGCATGCCACCAGTTGCCCATGCCTGCTCTAAGATGAATACATTTTAAGGTTAAAAGATAATTAATAAACTACAGACAAATGGACTAAAAGCACTCTGAATCTACACATGATGTTTCCACACATTTCCTTTTGAAGAACAACTAGAGTTGCCAACCTCTTAACTTCTTTTTTAAATCAGTTCATTAGAATTGACAATGCAGTCATCAAAAGTAACTTTGCATATTTTAGACTGTTACATATTTGTTGTTTTTTTTGCATATCACTGAGATACAAAAATAAATAAATAAAAACACAAGAATTTATTTAGTAAAAGGCAACTTTTGATAAAGTTGTACATAATATGTATCCTCTCTTCAATTACTGAAGCTTCAATCAAATAAATAACACATGCCCTCCCCACCCCAAAGACATCTTTCTCAATCACGTTTATTGTTAGAACATTTGCAAACTCCACAGTTTTACACGACGCTCCCATACTATCACATTCTCTCCCCCCCCCACCTCCACCCTCTGTCTCTCCTTCTGTCTGTTCCTGTGTGACAGAGTCAGTAACACCGCAGCAGGAGGTGAAAGAAAGAAAGCTGGAGGCAGGAAGCGGGGGCAGAGGGAGGGAGAGAGGGTGCTAAAGTGCAGAACAGAATCATGGCCGACAGCAGCGAGAGAAATGCAACGCGTGACTTTGCAAAAAGCAGACGAAAAAGACAAAAAAGAAATCTGTCTGCGAGTGAATGTATGTGTTGGGGTTTGAGTTGATTCCAATAACTGTATGAATGCATGTTAGTCCTTATTCAAATGTGCATGTTTGTTTGTGTGTATGTGTGTGTGTGTGCGTTGAGGGGGTGCCAGGCAGCAGCTGGGAAGGCCTTCTTCTGTTCTCCTGTCATCAATAAATGATCAGATAGGGCCATCTGGAGAGAGGGAACCACCAACCATCAGGACCTGGCACCGAACGAAAGACAGAAAAGAAGAAAGGAGCGGGACTGAGAGGGAGAAGGGACAGAAGAAAAGGGAGAACAAGACTTTAAATCATGTTAAGGTAATTAATATAAAAGCTGAAGGAAAAGGGAAGCGATAGACTATGAATTCATCCTGAGATATTCCTTCCTGACGGTGGAGAAAATGGTTTTGGACTCACAGTTGAAGGCCTGCAGGTGCGTGCGACGAGACGTAGATGGGGGGGCTCGCAGAAGAGAGGAAGACAGGAAATGCAGAGGGACGACAGGCAAGAGAGGATGTTGGAAGATGTCAGGAAAAGCTCTAGGCAGCCTGCTGATGATTAACCCACAGGCAGCTTCTTTCTCCCACATACACACGCAGAGCATATCGGAGATGTTTTGATTTGTTTTATTTCCATAGCTAACAGAACCCAGAGCCATTGTAAACCAAGGAGGCCCACTTCTGGAAGCTCTCCTTTGAAGAAACACGAATATGTAAAAGTTCAACCAAAAAGAAGCCTGGATTTCCACATAGTTGCAAAACGTCTTTTTGATTTTTAATCTGCACATATGTTTTAACCATTTACTATGTTATTCATCTATTCATAGATTTTCAATATTCAGTTATTCCTTTCCAGGGTTGCCGAGTGGCTGGAGGTTTCTCCACAGAAGGCTGGAACAGCATTTATGTGCGTACACACCTGAAGGCAATTTATTCTTCTGTGCACCTCACCTGTAACTTTTTATATGATGGGAGAGCACCTGAAGGAGATTCATGCAGACACAACGCTTCTCTTTGCCCAGAACAATATCCCATGAAACCTGTGGTGTCTCGCAGATAATCTGGATAACCTTCAGCTATCAGCAAATGATTTCAGAAAGTCCTTTCTGGACTTGTCTTCTTCTGTCTTGCTGCATGCTGCACTATTCTGTAAGGCTGTTTATCCACTTACACCTCTCTTTTGAACTGTTGTAAATCACTTGTTTCATTCCTTTGTAAATCACACTGGGAAAGGTATTGTTAAAAACTCCTTTTACTGACACTTGGTATAAAAACAGAAAAAAAAAACATTCTCCTTTAGACTTCTTGTTAAATAAATTTTACATAAAAGGTATGCATGAACGTTACGATAACAAAGCAAAATGCTTAAAGTGTTTTAGGTTTATAGCATCAGTATGAAATGGTTACAGAATGCAATATAGCTTGATATGATGACAAAATGTGTCTTTTACAAATATGTTGTGTTTTGAAAATTATATCTAGTGTTTCCCAGTTTAGTGTGTGCTTTATGTTTTATAAAGAAAAGAGCTTTTAAAAATGATACCTAAGGCATAAAATAAAACTGTAACAAATTATTTGAGTCTATAAATGGCATGTATTGTACACTGCTTTCATTTTTACATTTTCTTTGGCTTTGATTCTGATGAGTGGATATGTTTTCATACCTGTACAAAAATACATTTTACTACTCTTACCTTAGATTTAAAGTATTGAATTAAAATCCCAAATTCAACAACCCATAGCTACACAAGCCCGTATGCATGACCGTTTTTCATATGCATGAGCATTCTGAATTGAATTTGCCTCACTGTGTAACTAATTTTATTTCCAGTAAATAGCATAAGCCCTAGGCTAAATGACCTAGCCAACCCAAGGTTCTAAATAAGCTTTTATAATTGGCAAATGCCAAAAATATGTACAACGATTAACCACTGAAATTAAATTAATCTAATAGAAGTCAACAAATATAAGCATGATATAAGGGAACCGCACAGCATGCAACAAGCAATTACTGCAAGGCTGGGTAATGCAAGGAGGAAAAAAATGGCTGTATTTAAATTTTGATTGGCAAAAAATATCACGATTAATTGTGACATTTTGCAGATAATGATTATTTTGACAATAAAAAGATGGCGATTGCATTTGTAAGCTTATGACTTTAAATTACTTGTCGTGAATCCATTTTAGAGTTTGTCCTCTGTCTTTCAGTTTTTACAAGCTACCTCCTTGCAGTTCAGTAACTTTGTTAAAAAAAGAAAAAAAAAAAGAAAAATTCTGGTTTCTGAAAGCTGAGATGTCCTGTGAGAGGCCTGTGGAGCAGTTTCTTCGTCTCCATCCCACTTCCCACACAGACAGATTGAAAGCACAGTAAGCAAAGTCAACGCTGTTCAAATGTGAGACATTTGGGTGTCCTACCTACTCTTGTGTAGCATGCAGGGGGGGGGGGGTGCAAATGCAGGACTATCCCATCTTTATCAAGATGGTTGGCAGGTATGAAGTGTATTGTGGGAAATCATGCAACCCTGTCTATTCAAAGGGTTTGGTTTAATCTTTTGGAAATGTAACAAACTTTTTTTTCCTGTATAGGCTACAAAAAAGGCCAGAAATGAGCTTCCTTCATAGGTTGGCTGGGCTCAACCTAAGAGATTGGATGAGGAACTCTTTCATCTTGAAGAGCTTAAAGTAGAACCACTGTTCCTTCAATTTAAAAGGTGAGGTGATTTGGACATTTGATGGGGATGCCTTCTGAATGTATTCATACGGAGATTATTTTGGGCATGTTCCACTGGAGGGATTATGTATCTTTTCTAGACTAGGAATGCCTTGGATCCCTGAGGCAGAGCTGGGAAGTGTCTGTGGGAAGAAGGACTGGTTGCCTCTTTTACCTGACTATGAATAAGTGCAAGAAGATGGAGGTTGACGTAGCTAGAGCTCAGTGCAGCTGAAGCCTGACCAGGAACACAGCAACAGCAGGAACGACTATTGGCATCTTCAGACCATCATATGGCAAAGATCTGTGGCAGTTCACAACAAACATACATAGCACCCATGATCAGAGAAGTGCATGATGATAGACTGACTGAAACTTTAGAGTGAGTTTGTTATTGTTCATCTAATGCAGGGACGGTCCATCCTGGTACTTGAGGGCTGCTGTCCTGCATGGTTTACGTCCTCCCCTGCTCCAACACACCTGACTCCCTGATTACCTAATTTCCCTCTGGAATCAATAAAGTATTTCTGAATTGAATTGAATTAATTCAGTGAAAGAATTACCTCATCAAGATCCGCAGAAGCTTGGTAAGGAACCATTCATTCAAATCAGGTGTGTTGGATCAGAGAAATAAGTAAAATATTTACAACAGGGGCCCTCAAAGACCAGGATTGCCCATCCCTGATGTTAAGCATGGTATTTTGTCACTGTAGGAAAAGACCATTTGGCAGGACATTCCAAATGCCTGAGGAC